TTCAAAAAGTGTTTATCCCTTATATTTTAAAGCTGATATTTAAGTTTTCATCATTAAATAGTTGCAATAGATTTAAATTCTGGCAAATTGTAAATAATGACAATTTAAGATAAATCTGTAAAATCACTTGTTATAATGTATCCAATAGAATCTACATAACAATTGCATAACTACCATCATCCATTTAAAAATTACAAATAAGCTCTTTAACATCCATTAATTCTACATTGTTCTTTTATCATCTCTAATTTACATTTTGTTCTACTTTCCAATAAAATGTCAACCAAATGCAATACTTTTTATGTTTGAAAAGCTTTTATTGATCACTTCTTTGCGATAAATTTGTATGTATTAAAGTAAATTTTTAAAAAATTCCTGTAATTATATGGGTCTATGCATTAGAAAGAATTCTTTGAATTGACCAATCACTACAATTACAATTAATGATTTAAAATCTGCTCAAAATGATACGATTACAAATTTTGATAATATAGAAAAAGGTAAAATTCTACTGGGAATACATGTTTCAGTGAGATGGATGGGGTTTACCACCAATTAATTCATCTGTCTGAATGACTTTTTCTTACTGCTAGATTAATTTTTTCTCTTCACAGATACAGTGCCAAGAAATATTACTCACAAAAATAGATGGGAATGCTAGTAGATTTGTTATAGTAATGTGAATCCTTTTCCAAATTATATGCCAAAAATCAAAGTGTTCCTTCGTTAGCTAAACGAAGTTATTAGGTCCACCACCAACTGTTGAAAGCTGGGAACAATCTGACATGCAAAAGAATTTATTTTGTCGTTAGTGTCCATCGCTTTCTCAAGTGACTTTTAATTATGATTACTCTCACTAGAAGCTTTTAGGAAGGGTTGGGAAAGTCAAGATATTGTTAATTTCAACACATCGTTAGCATGACAATATTACTGAAATTTTAGCTGCAGCTGTAGATTTGGCTCAATTGATTGTAAATAATAATTATGCAAATTAGCAACCCCAGTGTCTTCGTCAAACCAATTAACCAAGTGAAACTTATGTCAAAAAAAATAGCTTTTCAATTCAAATAAATATGTTAACAGGCGTGCCTGTGATCACGTTTCACTTCTGAATTCCAAGAGAGACATGGCACTGATCTCTGAGTTTGGCCTTAGATCAAGTAAAGCCCTTTCAGTTCAGGTATTTCTAACCAACGCTATCCTTGCTTTCCTCCACGGCACACTCTCAGGCAAAATGCTGCCTCTGACTTCCCTGGGGGTGGAAGAGGCGAGATTAATGAAATTTCATCACTACCTCCCACTCTCTAACACGCCTGAATTCAGAACACTCCTATAGAGGCCAAAATACTGCTCTTATAATGCCTAGTCTCACTTATAACTATCTCTGGTCTTAAGATATCCTAGGGATGAACCATACCACAATCTGAATAACACTATTCACAGGAATAGAGTTTAGAGCCTGGAAAGTCGGCTTCTCTCCGGTTCTTTCCAGCTACCTCAGGGCGGGAGTGGCGGCCCACTTTGCGTCAGTTCCTGCGCAGTGCTAACTACCAGTGGGCTTGTCCTGGACGGGGAAAGTACGGCACAGGCCGCAGCCCAGCTAGGCAATCCCCGAATCGAAGAGATGCAATTGCCGCTCTGGAAGTTAGAAAGCGGAGAGCTCCGTGGCGGGCTCCACAGTTAGGCCGGAATCCTCCTCAGGAACCTGGCGTAGAGGGGAAGGGGAAGAATGTTGGTGCGACACAGCTCAGTGTGACCAGGTTCGGAGCCGGAGCTCTCGCTAGCGGAGGCCGGAACTCGGCACGTGGGCTCTCAGCCTCCTCGGGCCGGAAGTGAGGAAGGCTGAGCTGGCCCTTTTCGGGCAGAAACTAGGCGACTCTAGAGGGCGTCGGCATGGGGAAGAGTGTTTATGTAACACTGCAAGCGGCGCGGTGGGTTGGGGGCGGGTGTCGGTATAGGGGCTCTCGGAAGGGACGGATATCGCTGTAACACTGTCGGGACTCTCTGAAGGGACTGTGTTGGTGTGGCACCAGGGCATGCTGAGGGAGCTGGCGTAACCAGGTGGCCATGGGGATGTGGGCGTCGCTGGACCCGATGTGGGAGATGCCAGCCGAGAAGCGTATTTTCGGTGCCGTGCTGCTGTTCTCGTGGGCAGTGTATCTCTGGGAGACCTTCCTAGCACAGCGGCAGGTGAGCTTAGACAAGGTCCATCCAACTCCGACACCCGGCCAGCCCTAGGCCAGCCCGGGTTTCAACCCCAAGTCCCTGGATGTATGCTGTGGCCTCAGCACCAGCCTCGACCCTAAGAGTCCCTACTGAGCCTCCTAACTTGGCCCGATGGCGGGATTGCCTTTGAGAGGATCTGGTGCCTCAGGGACGTTTTCATTTAAGTGATCGTGGGACCTAGGCCATTTAAGGCCTGGTGAAAGGGAAAGCAGGGCTGCCGCCTTGTCAGGCTTTAGCTCTTGTACCTCTCCCACAGCTTCCTTAAGATCCTGCCAGGCTTCCCTTTTTTATTTTTGACTCATAAGCCTTCAAAAGGAAGATGCTAACATTTTAGAATCACAGCCTCCTCATGACATTTGTGGTAATCATGCTCAGCCATAAGATTAGGAAACCATTTTCTGAAAATAAAGATTTCTCGGTTGTTCCAAGGACTTGAACTCTATTTCCTTAAAAAAAAAAAAAAAAAGTATACAGTATATTGTTTTTGCCTAAAGAATATTTTCTTGTTTTAAAAGGGTCTTTATTATTTTTGCTTAAACAAAACAAGTAGAAAGTGAAAGTTACCTAATAACTATTCCCTGGAGATTATCATAACAGCTTGATGGAGTAGAGAGCTGAACTTTTAAATGAGATAGATTTTAAGTTTAACTGACCACTTTATTGCAGTCTCTCACTGCTGGTTTGCTTTACCTACATTCTATGTTGCTGCTGAATTATGTCAACCATGATGGTTATAAAAACCTTTCTTTTTAACTGCTGGAAATTTCCTCTGCAAATTTCTTCTCTCAGTTTACATTCTGCATGAATCTTTAAATTGAAATTTTTAACTTTTCTATATCTGTCAATGTCTTGGTTATATCTTGATCTCTTCTTTTAGTTCAGAATATTCAAAGAGGTGTTAAGCTGTATAGCACTATGTTCTCTGACATATCTCTTTAGATAGCTCCATTAGTACAGAATCTTGTAGGCCTAGAGATGATATTTTGCATAAAGTAAACACAATATGTAGCGTGTAAATTGGGGATGGGGTATTGAACATCTGTTTGTCTTACTTTAATAATAAGCCTAGTTACAGTAACTACTTTTCTATACTGTCTTCTTTACTCAGTTATGCTTTCATGTAATGTGTTTTATTGAGAGTTTGGTAAGATGCACAACAACAAATAAAGCTATTTGTTGTAAAACCATTGTAGAAGATGCTGTCCATTATATTTTTGGTATCTGCTCTCTGTATTATGTCCTGTGGGCTGAAATTACCTTTTGGAATATGGTATAATGAGAAAGTTTGTCTTTCTCGAAGATTTGATATGTTTGTCTGTCATTCCTTAAATTTCCCTTAATTTGGCCTCTAGGATCAAATTTAATGACTAGCCTATTAATATTCATGGTTAGCATATTCGTTTCCTCCTCCTCTCCATGAATTTATTTTCTATATTATAGTATGTATGATATACCTGGGATGAGTGGTACCGTTAGTGATGTTACAATATTGGTTTACATATGCAAACTGAAATGTGATGACAACCCTGATTTTAATTTTACCTAGTCAACTAGCCTCAGATTCTCTTGTTCTCCTTTTACTTTCCTACATCAGCTGTTTTAGTAGTCAGTGTGCTTGATCAAATGCACTATTTGTGTATGTATAAACTAGATTCAACAGGCTTAAGCAGCAAGTTAATGCTATAAACCATTCGATATTTGATAATAAATGACTACAGTAATAAATAAGGATTTGGTTAGACTGTTTCATTAAAGTGTTTTCTTCAAAATATTTCAGAGACGGATATATAAAACAACAACTCATGTACCACTGGAGTTAGGACAGATTATGGATTCAGAAACATTTGAGAAATCGCGACTGTATCAGCTGGATAAAAGTACCTTCAGCTTTTGGTCAGGACTCTACTCAGAGATTGAAGGAACTGTGAGTAATTTACTTCTTGAAGAGACAATCTATCATATTGTTTAATAATTTGTTATGTTTGTTTTCCTTTTTGTATTTTTGTGACACAAAAGAGGATACCACATCTATAAATCCCAGAATGCTTTCCTAACCTTTGCTATTGACAGTAATGTGTATAGAGCAAAAGAGGTAGAAACATAACTGTTTAGTCAGTTGAAAATTGTAGAATATGGTCACTCACCCTGAGGACAGGTGTGAAAAAGAACCTTATGTTGTAAGTTATTCTTGTTGCAGTCCCTACTTGTCTTCATTCCTCTATCTTAATTCTACAACTTGTCTTCCACATTGTAGCCAAAGGAATTCTGAAGAACAGTTTTGATCATGTCATTCTCCTACAGAAAACCTTTCCCTGGCTTTTTGTATCCTTCAGAATGAAGTCCAAATTTCTTGGCTTGGTTTATGAGGTCCTTTTTGATCTGGCTATTGCTCACTTGAGCATCATCTTTTTATTTTTTCCCCCAAATTCTTTCCCCTTCTTTATTGTCCATTTCATACCGTACATGGTTTCTTGTGACTTTGAGTCTTTTCACGTGCTGGTATCTCTGTCTGGAGCACCCTTCCACTCCCTCTTCAACTCCACTCCTTCACTGGAGGCTAATTAATCCCTACTCTAACATTAGGATCCAACTGAGACATTATCTCTCCTAAGAAATGGTTTGAAACTTTCTCTGTCCCTCAAGTCTGCATAAGTTAGCATCCTGTCATTATTCCTACCAGTGCTTATCACATTGTATTGAATTTGCCTCTTTAGATGACAGACTGCTAGTTCCTTAAAGAAAGGGTACTTTAAAGTCTTGTTCATCATATTATACTTAGTGCCTGGAGTGTAATAAGACCATGATTCATATTTACTGAATGAAACAATGAGTGACAGATCATTTTTACTTAGCAAAACAGGGTCGGTCTTACTCTCATGCTAAGAGAGGCTCTATAGTGTAGAGCAGTGTTTCTCAGTCTTTGTTTCATGATCTCCCTGGGTCCGTGATCACGTACCTTTTTAGACATCTTTTCCTAATCGCCCCTCTGTGAAATTTTAATACCACAGAAACACCGTATACCTGTTTTCATACTCTATGTATGTATATCTGTGCTTTATACATAAAATGAGTAAGATTTTTTTCCACATCCAAAAACCAATTCTTGGTTTTCCATCCCTAGGAACAATTGAAAGTGCGTGGTGTTAGAGGTTAAGAGCAGACTCTGAACTCAGGTGGCTTCAGTTTGAATCTCAGGTCTGTCATACCAGCTTTGTAACCTCAAGCAAGTCGCTCAACATTTCTATGGCTCAGTTTTCTCATCTGTTAAAACTATATGGTAATAATAGTTCCACATTCATACTATTGTTGAGAGGATTTAGTGAGTTAGTATATGGAAGATGCTTAGAACAATGCCTGACCCATTATAAGTACTCCATAAGTGTTGGCTATTATTATTTTTATCATCGTGGTCATGATTATCATCACTATTTCTCTAGAATTCGTTTAGATTCTCCAGTACCACAAAAAGGATGATTCTTAAATTGGAAATAGTTGAGATCGGCTATTATAATTGTTTCATTAGTTAAAGAAAAGAAACTGGATGTTAGTAGCTTTGTTAAATGATGACAAAATTGTCTAGCTAGTAACAAAATTTGCCTTGATAAATATGGAATAGTAAGACTAGTGTGTTTAGAACCAACTTATTAGAAACCTCTCCCATTTCCTCAAGATAATGGAAAATGACAAAACTTCTGAAAGAGTTATATCTTGATTTATAGATAAATCAATAAATGATCTAAAAAATAAAGTAGCATTGGCTTTTGGGGTAACAGTGAATGCTAGTAATTAATCTTTTCAGTATTGATTTTTAAATTTTTACTAGTAGAAGCCAAGTTTAGTTACTGAGATAATGAGGATTAGTATTAAAACTTGATGCTTTCCGGGAGAGAAAAAAAATATCGTAGATGATGGAGGCTCTGTTCATCCCTCTGGCGACCAAATCAAAGTTGTAATGGAAACATGGAGCAACAGCAAGGAAAAATCGCCTGGGATGAACAAACCATACAACTAGGGAAAAATCCACGAAATCACTCTGCAACAGCCGAAGGTAGGATGGGGTGAGGACATGGGGCTGCCTTATCTCTAGCAGCTGAATGAGACAGAGGCTGTGGCAGCAGCAGAAGCCTCTTAAAGGGGCCGTGTCCACAAATAGATTTTCGCGGTGATGGACCTGCTTGCTCTGAGCACCAGTGCCAATTCGGCTGCATGCAGGGGATACCAGAGACTTACAGGGAGACATTGTCGGAGTGAGGGCCAAGATGAAATTCTCTCGGTAAAGAAGTGCCGGGAGTATCCATTGTTCCTTGTTGAGCCCTCCCCCACTCCCATAGCTGGATGTCATCAAACTGGATAACAGAGGTCGCTCCGCCCAGAGCATTTCCTGAAACTCCACCTCCCCAACTCGCAGCCCCACCCAAGCCACATCCAGGTGTGTCCTCAGTGAGTCAGGTGCTCCTTGCTGAGCAGTGTCTGGACTCAGACTGGAGGCAGCTGGCCTTGGTTTCTGGTGCAGCCTTTTGAGGCAACTATAAGCACTGCATCTGTGGATTACTTGCTGACTCTTAACAGGTGGCCCCGGAGGGGTAGAGGCTTGGGCTAAGTTTGGCCTGCAGCTGAACCCCTCTCAAGACTGTGCCACTGGACACCTACTTCAGAAATCCACACTAATAAGACCAGGAGACTTAGGAGCTTTGCTTAGTACATAGAAACAGACACAGAAAGGCAGCCAAAATGGGAAGACAAAGAAGCAGAAACCATATGAGAGAACAGAACAGAGATCCTTGATATAATGGAGTCAAGTGATCTAACAGATGCAGAGTTCAAAACACTGGCTATAAAGATGCTCAGTGAACTTTTGGGAAGTGTAGGGA